TACCTCGGTTGAAGTTAAATCCTTACACATACAAAGAGTAGACTTATGAGGCTGGCTTTCACCTGGCAGTTAACCTTTATGAGTCTTAATGAATCCATCTGTCTGTAGAATGTCCTTGAATTTCTTTTCGTCCAAGACTGTCTCCCTAAGAATGCCCCCATCCCCCAGCACTCTATAACCCAGGAGTAAAATGGGTTCATTGTTTGGAGTGAGAGTTCAGATAGTTGACTGTGTGTAAGACAAGGTAGCGGTTCTTGTTAGCACAGAGCCTGCAGACGTATGGGAGACAGGGAGATGAATAAGTGCTGTGACAGAGACTCTGAGTTGTCTAACTAATCTGAGTGTGCAAAATTAATGACATTGTTCTTCTTTACACCCCTACAATATCAAGCTTGAACATTTTACAGATTCTACTTTTGTTCTAAATTAGTACATTCTCATTTTAGTATGAACAGTAGAGTATAATTGACCAGTCTACCATCAAACAGAAACTTGGTTAATTTTATATCATTACCATTAGTTTATATAACTGCTGTGTAATAGAGCACTGCTTCTCAGCCAATGATGGAAGCAACTAGATTTTGAAAAAGTCAAAACATACATTACTTCGTTGATGCTATGAAATATTATTAATGTGTGTATTTTGCATGGTTTTTCTCAAATGTTGATATACCAGATAGTTCACTCTCAAAAAAGTAAAAAGGAAGAAAAAGCTTCTTTTGGGTGTTCGCTTATTCACATTTCACTTATTTTATTTTACACTGCATACCCTATCTGACAGTAACATTCATCCAAAGATCATCGTACACCTCGGATTTCTTTAAAAAAAAAAAAAACCCACTGACATCGATTATTTTGATTGACATTTAATTTCATGTATTTGTTGCTTACACTCTTTTTTTCCTGCCCTTTATACTTTTTAATTTAAATTTTTGCAATCACTTAAAACAGTCATAGTCACGCAATGATTATTTTTTACATTAACTGCAGGATCCTTTATAGACAGATAAATAGATTATCTTGAAGCCTTAGCAATCCGTCATTTTCAACAGTGAGGGCTCATTGTCAACAGTCAAAATCATCACAAGAGGTTTGTTTAAAAAGGGCATTAAAAACATGTAAACCAAGAAAACATTCCAGAGAAACAGATGTAAAAAAGCATATAGATAGATACAGACAGAACACAATGACACCTTATTCTAATCAAAGCATTTATGTGTATTTAAAAATGCGTAATCAACACAATTTAAACTTCAGGCATATAAATGAATAAACTCTCTAAATTTGGACTGCAAATAATAGAACTTTAAAGTTGTTCATCTCCAACAGCAACATGTCTGCACTTAAAATGTAGGACATGACAATATACCAAGACAGAATATGGAATTTCCTTTTGAACATGAAAGCAGATCGATACCAATTTCTAAGAAATGGCTCTTCTCCTCGACCATGATGGCAAAGATATGATAAAAGAGCAGATGTTTTTTTCAGACGTAGTCTTTCCTGTCATAGTCACTGGGGACGACGGACTTAGGTTGAGCGTATACCGTTGATGGAGGCCCATGCTTTTTCTGAGGCTTCTGGGGCCGGCTGCACAAGAGGATGGCCCCTCCTATGAGAAGAAAAGCAGCTGCTGCCCAGCCCAGGTACAAAGCTGCACCGAAGTCTTTCTTCTCCCCCGATCCCGTTGAATTGTGGAAGTCCATCATGATATTGTGGGCAAACCATGACACGGGTATCATCTGGCTCAGAGATGCCAGGATAAAGTTCACACCAGCAACAATCATCACTTGAGCCTTGGTTGCCTTTTCATCCACACAGTTGGTACACTTTGCTCCCACAAAGGCTGCAAAAAGCCCCACAATTCCCAAAAGAATGGAGAGGATAGTAAGGGCACGCGCAGCCTGAAGCTCAGGACTTAGATCCAACATGGAGTAATGAATTTTACACCCCATGTAACCCGTGCTCTGGATTCGGCACTCCATCCAGATGCCCTCCCAGCTCGTCTCAGTAGTGATGATATTACTTTGAATAAAAGCTGTTACTTTCCACATGGGCAAAACGCAAGACGCAATGGCAAAGATCCATCCAAGGAAAGCCAGGGCCATTCCAAGAATCTCTAATCCCATTGAAGGCATGTCTGCACTGTGTGTAAATACGAAGTGTCCACTGTCAAGTGTCAAGTGTCAGATGTCCTCAGAGTAGTTTGAAGAGATCTGAGTGATTTATTGAGATTATTGCTGATACGAGAACAGATGGTTTTAAATAGGTGGAGTCACATGGATATTGATTGGAGGAGTTCAAATAGTTAACTGCCCCACCTCATTTGTACTGCCAGAAACAGCCGACTCAGCTTAATGATTCAACTTTCACGGCCTTAGCAGCTCTCCCACCTGTTTGGGTGAGGGGAGAGTAAACAGTGGCTTTTTCTCTCAAGTCTACAGTAGTTAAAGAATAACAGAAAAGTTAAAGGTCGAAGGATGAATGCTTGAAAGTAGAGGACAACTTCAGCAATAGTATCATTGTAGTAGTGTGTGGCAAATGAATCAGAAAGAAAATTTGTTAAAAATGCTTATTAATAATGCAAGTTGCACAAATGGGTTTGTGAATGCCATTAGTACTTTATTACACCTTATTTGGATAAACAGTAGTCACTGAACCCCGAACATGATGGAAGTGGTGAAAAGCAAATGGGGGGGGGGAGTTCTCTGGAAACCAGTGGGAGTTTTCTGATTATGTGAAAGTTGTATTTGTATATATGTGAAAGCCTCTGCATGCCTCTGATAAATTTGATTAAAAAAAAAACATCATCCCAAGTTCTATGGAAAGCTTTCACAATTCCACCTAAAAATGTTTCATCTTTAATAGTTTAGAGATATAAATGTTTTGGAAAAAGCGCTTTCATCTGGCCACAAAAAAGACAAGGCCTAGGTTTCTTTCTCTGCTTTTTATAGAAATATCATTTAAAAAAATGTCTTTTTAAGACAGGTGATTGATAAGAATGTTGTTCGAGTTAATTTTCTCTTAGTGTAAAGCACACACTGAGTTACTCAAGCAGCCTCAATTTAGAAAGCTTAAATTATTAGATATTATGTCATCATAATAGGGTGTGTAATGTGCTGATATGTACTGCTGAAAACAGCTTCACTGCATCTGTTCAAATGACTAATCTGTCCTTCTGGGAAGTTCTTGACTAACACTACTTGTGGAACTGCAATGCAACACAAAACCCCTCTAACATAATACAGTGTGCACTGATTATATTACTTTCGTGAAACTCTTTTAGGAACATCTGTATTTCTCTCAGTACACACACGTGCTCGTAATAGAAGAAAACACTATATAATAGGCCAGTGTGTTGGAAAATGCATAAATAGTCTGTTTAGGTGTCCTGTGGGTGGGTGGAATGGATTATCAGTGTCCTTTTTCAGAAAATCATTGCATCATTTATTTCAACTTTTATTTCAGTGTGCTGTGGAGAAAAACTTACACTCTGGCCTCCAAGATTTAGCAGAGCTTCCTCATCACACTAACACAAACTGCACGGCATCATTTTCACTTTGTAAACCATTTTACTAACATGAACATTATTGGCATGATCATAGGACCACAGCAGTCAAATGCATGGCCTTCAGACACTTGAATGCTTGGGCTTAAATCAAACATTATTCAAGAAATTTTTATTTTCTTGAAGTTGTTGAGCAAGCCTTGGCCCATCAGAATAAGAACAGTAAAAATATAAAAAGCCTTAACATTTTATCCTGAGTCAACCTCTGCTGGGAAATGATGCACTCATAGTTTGTCCACACCTCATTTAACCAACAACAACATCATTGTTTCTCTCTTGCATCTGCAGTTTCTTTGAAATGGGAGCTGGCTTGTACTAATATGTTTTCCATCACTTCTGACTAGCACCCGATTGCACTGTTGTGCTGAATGACACATTTTGTAAGCAGCTCTGTGGCCACTGAAAATGAATTTCTAGTATATTTAGAAGCTCGTAAATATACTTTACTGTATACTAATAAATATATGTAACTTCGTATCTAATGCCTAAGTTAAGAAGAGATGAAATGTTTTCTAATTTGTGTTTCTTGTGGATTTTTAGCTCTTCTTGTTTGTCGAACGGATTAAATCACATGGGTTGGTTGACCTTAAATGAAGCAAGTCGACTATTTTTCTGTCTATATTGTTAAAGTGTACTATTTAAGCATAATTTCTTTCATAGTAAATCTTTTTTATATAGTGTTTGCAAGAATTGACATACCCTTTTAAACATTCAAACTATATTTTGAGTCTGTGAATCCAATGCCAAGCAGAAGTGCACAGCAATTAGTTGCAAACTAGCTGATCAATAGAGTCTTTGTGGCTCAGTTGTGACTCGGCAGAGGTTACATCCCCTGCAGATGGAGACTGTTATCTCCGACTCAATTTCACTTTGCAAATGGAGGGCAGGCTACAAAAGAAAGGGAGCACAAGGTGCTCTTCTGAAACAAGCCATCTATTGTTAGTTTCTTCCATCTACATTGAAATAAAATATCCAAAGCTGGAATGCCCCTGAACTGCACTTCTTGGTCAAACATGGCTGAACTCTATAGCCGGTATATGTCCCTGCCTCTGCACACCAACAAACCTTTTGGAATAAAAAGCACAGCACAAAGTGCACTATAAAGAAAAGTTGATGACAAACCAGTTACTGAAAAAAAAGTTTTACTTTTCAACTGAAGTTGTGAAACTTCCTCTTGTCAGAATTTACTTCCAAGTACATTGTGTGAAGATTTCTAAAGGTTAGAAACATCTTGATTTCAGCTTTTTTGAGGAAAAAAAATGTGTTCATACTTGCAAAAGAAACAAAAAAATGCACATCATTTTAAAAAAAATGTTCACGACTAAAACATGAAACACGGATCAGTCATTTAAACATTTGAAGCTAGCACCAAACATGCATCTACTAACCACAAATTTATAAATGCAGTTCATCATTTCCTCATGTCACACAGTCATACATAGTCTCTTCTGGTGTATCCATTGACTGATATGGTTTTTACAGCTGAGTAGTCAATGCGGGAAGGTGCAGAACCACCACCACTTGGTGCCGTGGTTGATCTGCGAGGGCAGGAGCAGCAGAGCAGGGCTCCCCCTAGAATCAGCAGGCAGGAAGCAGCCCAACCAAAGTACAGAGCATTACCAAACTCCCTCTTCCCTGTCTCCTCCAGCATGGGGTCATAGAAGCCCAGGACAATGGCGTGAGCTGTCCAGGACACAGCCAGCAGAAGCAGCAGTCCAGCCACCACAAATGTCACCCCAGCAGCCACCATGAGGCGAGGTTTACTGCTCACATCCCGGCTACAGTTGGTGCACTTGGCACCAGCCACTGACAAAATGATGCCCACAATGCAAAGAACCAGAGAGATGATGACCAAGGCACGAGCTGCTTGCAGGTCAACTGGAAGCCCCAGCATGGAGTCATGTACCTTGCAGTGCATCTGTCCTGTGCTCTGTACAGAACAGTTCATCCACAAGCCTTCCCAGATAACCTGAGAGATGACAATGTTCTGGCCGATGTAGGCAGCCACTCTCCACATAGGCAGGCCACAGGTCACCATTACTCCCAGCCAGCCAGCCACAGCCAGAATGATCCCGAGGATCTCCAAACCGGTAGAATACATAGTTGGAGCAGGGGATGAGGAAGGAGCTGAACAAAATTCTGTTTCAGTACGCTGTGAGATGGGAGGGCTTCTGTGTCGGTGAGCTCAACCCTCTTGAGATGAAGGTGACATTGGATCTCTGTGGCTCAAAGGCCTGTGCAAGGCTTTTAGCGAGAGAGGAAGAGAGAGGGAGAAAGAGATTCTACCTTCTTTATTCAGTTTAGATGACTGAAGGTGGAGTCAGCTTAAGGTGGCATCATTTCTACCTCCAAACTGAACTTGGGTTTCTGGAGACATCAAAGTTTTCTTTAAAATCTGATACAAAAGGATGTCTTATAATATGAGACAACCACAAAAATACATATCATTGTTAATAGAATAGTCCAATGCTGAAATGTACATGAACCCAGGGAGTGTTAGTTTATAGTAAAATGCTGTAGATTGTTTTCTGAAAAACAGTTTTATCTATTTTTACACCAATTAAACATTTACATTTATTTACTGAGATGCATAAACTGAATCGAGTAAAGATACTTTTAAGTGTTTTGGAGTTTGTTTGTTTTTTTAAAGTGGATACACAGTATTTTAGTCCATGTGTGCATATTTCTGTGACATGTGACAGAATGATGAAAAACGCTGAATCATTCCCTGAATGAGACCCATGAAGAAAAAAAGAGGAACAATGCCAGCCTTGTTTTTTGGTGGCCAGTCACACAATCCCTTATAGCACAGAAAATACCTACTGGCCAAAAAAAGAAAAAGAAACAGGCATCTAATGAGTCCTCTTTATGTCATTTGAGACTTGTACCTATCTAGAGATTCTTGGATGACTTTATCCAGTTATATTACCTCATTTTAAGCCAGTTTCCTTAATGATGGCTAGGTGATACTGAAATAAAGTGTGATGGGCAAATTAAACTCTTGATAATCTAACTGACCAGAAAAAAAAATACAAATCAAGGTGTAGTAATGCCCAGATATTTTCCCATTCAAAAAATATTCACTCACAGCTGTTATGTCTTTTTTTTCTTTGGTACTGTCTGTCCTGCAAATACTTTGGTCAAAGGACTAGAAAATGCCTAACAGTTAGGGATATCTTCTAAAAAGTCTTCACATCTTCTTGAGAATAGGGGCTTGGCTAATAAGTGAACTCTGTGTCATTAAAGGCTATCCACTAATATACAGAGGTCACATCGGGTCAGTGATTGGCTACAACAGCATTAAAAGGATTTGTTTATCAGCACTAATTAGATTGACCAGTGCTCAGAACAAAGAGTCCAAAGAACTCACTGAAGATTTAAGAAGGAGAAACATAGGTTTACAGAAGCTGGGAGGGTCTCTTGGAGCTATTTCTAAATAACTGCAGATCTGAAAATCTTTGGTTCAAATAATTTTACATGAATACAAGTTATTCAGATGTGTCACTCAAACTCTTACCCTCAGATGAAAGAAATTTGTTAGGTTGCTCAGGAACAAGAAAGTAACTGCCAAGACTCAGGCCTGCAATGAACAGTAAACTACTGGAATGTCAGATCTCAACCTTAATGAAAATTTGTGTACTTTGCTTAAAAGTCAGGCCTATGCCAGGAAATGGACCCATTTAAATTCAAATATCTAGAAAGAATTATCCCAGAAGCTTGTTGATGGCTACCAAAAGCATGTGGTTGAGGTGCAATTTAACTAAATTTAACTAAAATTAATAGGGGAGTATAAGTCAGTAAAGATGTATGCTATGCAATCATTCCACCCTGAAAAAGAACAATTCAAAGAAATCATTAAGAGGCCAAAATCTCCTTGAAATTCTTGTGCATCATCAGTGTCTGAAAACGTCTGGCCACAACTGTAAGCTGGGAGTAGTAATAGTTCTCCATTCTGCAACCACACAGTCTTTCATCATCATGACACATGCCTGCCAGAAGTCTGTTGTTAGTCAACAGAAATATACTGAATAGTACTCCCTTTGTTGCCAAATAAGTATTAATAATGTGACTTAAAATATAAATAAATAAATACAAAAGCTTTATCGGTTAGAAACAATAGTAGCACAGTGGTGATGCAGTGATTTACCTAAACATGCAAACATACATGGAAATACAGTACATAAAGAAATAACTAAAGAATTTGTACATACAGTACTTTGCTTCATTTATTATTTCGTCAATTTTGACAAAACCACCTCTGTGTTCTAAAGACGGCTGTAGGGACTCACTGTTGTACCTCTGCTTACCTCTTCTGTACAGATTGACAATTTGTACAACTTTCCCCCCCTACCTTGTTCAAATTTTTACACATTTTTTGTCCTTCCTTGAGAATGTCTTCTTCACAGACACCTTTTCCCTCAGACCATTTGTAATCGTACTTCAATGAACAGACTCAACTGAAGGGCCTATTTCTTGACTATAAAATACTGTTCATCTGCTGTAGTTTCTTTTTAGGCTTTTCGCTTCTACTTTTGTTCTACACTTTTCCAGTTTCTTCAGAACTTTTAAGAAATATCCTGCGCACAATGCCAAGGTATGCACAACTATTTTAAGAAATGTAACTATTTGGCTAATAGCTATTTGGTAAACACCATGTTGGTGTGAAAATATTAAAATATTATTTTATGGCTGTCAAACTGTGTTATATTTTGCATCATATATTATATGTCGGAGATTCAAGTAAGGAAATGCTGCGTGTTGTTACAACAGGTTGATAGTATGTCAGTAACAAAATACCTAAGTTACCTGTTATGTGTAGACACAACACTGGTTCCTCCCTGAGTTCTCTTTTTATGTTTGTATAAAAATAAAACTCACTCAGGTGTCTTCTGTACAAGCCTTTTATGCTCGACTGATTCATATTATCAGATACAATGACTGGATTGAAAAACAGTGAAAAAGCAGCCAGTTTCCATATAAACACTGTGAAAGAGCTCAGAAAGCCTGGAGCACTACTCAGTATCACTTTAAAATTTACAGGTAAGTCCGGTTCTATTGAGGAAACATGAAAAGAAATGGGGAGTGGCTGGAGACTTTTGCACAGTACCATGCATGGATAATATCTTATGGGAGCTTTAAGATGTTCTTTCCTGCGTGCCTCAGCTGTGGTGACCATTTCTTGGTATCACACATGTAGCAACTCGCACACCTTGCTCAACATTTACCTGTTATGGGAACCAGTCTGACCTGTTCAGTGAAGGTGCTCCTGGTTGTTGTCACTGTACGCTAAAGTGTACTAATCCTAAGTATAAATGTATACCAATTATTGTTAACATTAAGCTGAAGAATTTCTTTTGTTGTTTGATTTGATTGCTTTTTAATTGTTATTTAAAAACAAGCGTCTGTTGTTGAAAAATACTGTAGTGAACTAATCCAGTTTAAGCTAATACAGCTTAGTGCAATCAGCATTGTTACAGTGATTGAAAGCACCACGAATCATGTAAGGAAATAGTAAAATAAAAGGAAATAAAAGCTGTTCCTGTATAGAGCTGTAACGGTCTACACAGACTTTACGAGTCTTTCCCCAGGGCAAAATACAACCTGACAACAATTCTTATAGAATTCAAAACAACACCTGCCGGCTTGTATTTATCATAGAACAAACAGCATTCTTTTTTTAGGGGGGGTGGTAGCTCTCATCTCAACCATATGAGCGTCATAAGTTGTAAATTAGCAAACCAAAAGTAGGTCCGTCTAAAACGGGCCAACTGTCGTTTTAAGTTTTCTTGAAACCTGTTCAGTCACAAAGACATCCATATTTGGTGCGTTGTTATGTTGTGTCGTGCAGACTAGTCTCTGAAGTTGCGAAACATTAAAGGGCACGTCGATGTACTCATTGAGATTAGTTCTTAGCATGTCATCCTCTTGGCATTACAATGCATGCCCACAAATGCAGTTCGCTCTAAACTGAAACTGGGCACAAACAGTTTGCATGGTACTTTTATTTATTGCATTACATCTGATCAAGCAGTTTAAATTTAAGGTTTAGTAGCGCTGGGTGGTTAGCACTTGCGTTCATCCTCATGCCCTGGATGTTTTTGTTTATTTGGCAACATAAACAGAGCAAGCACCTTCTGTTTTTCTAACACAAGTTGCAAATGGCCTGTACTTTTTGAACACCTGTTAATTAATTTTGTGTGTAATGTGGTGGTTTGTATTTAACGGCATTGCTCAATGAATCATTGTATAAAAACTAAATAACCTGTTGTCATCTCTTTGAACAGAGATATTAATAGGATGTATTAAGGGGCTATTAGGAGTGCTACTGTCAACAGACCTGACTTCAGTAAGCTCCAAATAACAGATTAAACAAGAAAAAGACCACTGTGAACAACAACGCACAAACACACACAGACATCTTCCAAGAGTGTGATTTTAAACCACTGCCCTCTGAGAGTAAATATTAACAGGTGTGTTTTATACAAGATGTTATCATTTCGGGTCTAAAGAAGCTCCTATTTGGCAGACTGAAAGATTTCAGGTTCCTGTTGGTGTCATGTGATAATAAGACACGGCAAAAATGAGTGAGTCACTGAGCAACACACCATGTTGTGCCTAAATCATCCACTGAAACTGTGACGCTACCTGAGCAACTGGCACGCAGCCCCCAGTGATGATATCATACAGATACAAGCAAACGACAGTTTTATCTGATGAAAATCCTAGACAGTATAACAATTTCCCTTACATCAGAAAATCTAACTTTTTCCATAGGAACCAGTAACAAAACATTGATCTCATATACAAGAAGATACCTTGAGCATATGACAACTTATAACTTATAAACAGGTGCAAAAACTATTAAATAGGTCCGGTAGGTTTTACATACAAAGCTTATGGGCCTTACAGCATATAAAATAACACACAACCCCTCATCTGCAGTTTTATTTTGTTTATTTCTTTGCATCGTAACCCTTCAAGTTTGACTAAAGGGTTGGGCAACTGAATAACAACCAAAGGCAGCCGTTACTGTGAAGTCTGAGCTTGTTCCAGACAACTCCTTTTGTCATTTTCCCACAGCTCAAGCATTCAAGTCGCTTA